CAAGTAGGTAATTGGAAAAATCGTATCAAAAGATGTATACAGCTTCCAAAGCTTCACTCAGAAGATGACTAATAAATTAGAAATTATTTATTAAACATATTATTAATGACCTTATTAGACTACTTCTAATCATTTCATAACAAAATGTTAATTTATTCCTTTGTTATAAAGTGGATGTGTTTTATATAGACAGACGGGATTAGAGTTTGATATACTTTGTTCGGTTTCAGCCTAAAAAGTCAGAATACTAAATTAGCTAAATATAATTATCATAATTGCCACATTTTCATAACTTAGTAAGTAGTACATAAAAATAATAATGATAAACTATTTAAATCTTTATTTAAGTTTATTTTTATATTTGTTCGAAATGCAAACAATTTAATCTGTTTTTAACAAACTATTCAATCGTAGTTCTGCAATAAAGCCACTCTACATCAATTTCCTCTCATATAAACTCAAATATTTTAAAAATCAGCACACATTGCAAAATTTTAAACATCTATATGCATATATATTTTATATGTATGTGTATCGTTAAGACATATTGAACATTCCCCTACGGATTGAAACGTTGACACCACGCTCAAGACAAGCAAATAATTATTTATCCTTTTTCTTTATTAAAAGTGTCACAGTAGCCATGACTGTTACGTTACTTTTAAAAGTGTCACTATGTCCATAACATTGAACTTGTTTAAATTTGAATGAAATAATTTATAATTAACTTCCTAAACTATGATATATTTTCAAAAATGCATTCAGTATGTTTTTAAAATATTGTATATGAAGAGATACTTCCACTAAGAGTACTTCAGATTCGACCAGGTTGTTAAAGCATTTTTATCTATATACATATGTATTTATTTATTTTATGTTCACTTGTATTTTAAGAAAACCCACAATTTGCTTGTTTTGGCAAGGACCTACATTTTTACTACAATTGCCAACATTATGCATTTATAGACCCATGCATATATTTTCAGCTTAATTTTTTTTATACTTACTTATATATATACAGAAAAAAAAATACAAGGATAATAAATGTATATAAATTTATTGTAAAATATCTATTCCACATACTACATTTACGAATAAGTATAACACATTTGTATATTTTTGATTATACATATTTGTTTAGGAACAGAATGCAGAAAAAAAGTAAAATGATATGAAAAAACATTTATTTCATGCAACATGGAAATATGTATACAACAAAAAAAAATGTATTTTATAAATTCAAACATGTTCTCAAATTTATACTACAATTGCACACTCACAAATGCAGGTTTACAGTGGATGTGATGTCAATTGGTACAAATGACAATAAATTCTGTTACACAAAACTTTAAACTTTGTATAAAAGAAACAAACTGTTAACTATAAAAATTACACTAGGACGGGTTAGCATCATATCAAAATTTTCCTAATATATTTTCCAAAGGTCAAAAATGTTTGGTTAATATTTGCTAATTCGTTCACGGATAAAAAAATTTTTGGAACAAATATTTCCTAGTAAGTTTTAGACTATTTGGAGAAAAATTAACCTAATGTGTTTAACCGATAAACTATTTTGAATCAAAATACATATATAAAAATGGTTGTACTTTTCATCGAGAATGTAAGGTTAAACTCTAAATTGTGGATATATGTATCTCTTATTTGCTACAAGACTGACATAATCCAAATTATTTTCGGTGTAAAATCAATTTTTTTGTTGTTAACGCAAAATTTAAAACTCATGTTTTTACGAATATTAGATGAGAAACATATTAACTTCTACTAGGTGAAACTGGTTTAATTTTTCAAATCCCTTGATTTGTTTAAAAAAATTTTAAAAGTATAAATGAGATTTGAAAAATGAAACCAGATTTAGCTAGAAAATGTTAATAATTTTTTTTTTTACCTAAATATAGATTAAATTTTCCCCTTTCAAATCGAAAGTAAGAAGCAGACATTTTTGGAAAATAGATAAAACTAAATGAAAGACTTTAGAACGGCCCATATTTTTTATTATTTATTGGAATTTACCAAACAAATGATTTTACACAATAGTTCCATTACTATTTAGTCTACTGTAAATACATATGTATTTACTTATATGTGGATTTTTACTTAAACAATTGGAAAATTTTTATATAAAATGTTTTATTGCGATTAAAAATATATATACACATTTAAAATCTATAAATATATATATACTCATTTATATTAGGGGGATAACTTCTCTACTATGATAGAAAATATGAAATTGATCCTAAACTAAGCTTGGAAATATTTAAAATCCTAGGTAAGGCTTTCGTTTTAAAATGTCTTGAAGAAACTGATAGAACAGTTAGAACTAAATTTGATTATAACCCTAACTTACCTACACGTTTATGTATGTATATGTAAACCACATTTACGTTCATGTATATACAACATGTGAAATCTGTTGAAAAAAAAAATTAAGAATACAACACATTGTATATGTCAAACTATAATATCACATGGATAAATACACTGCAATATCAAATAATAATAATAATAATAATAATAATAATAATAATAATAATAATAATAATAATAATAATAATAATAATAATAATAATAATAATAATAATAATAATAATAATAATAATAATAATAATAATAATAATAATAATAATAATAATAATAATAATAATAATAATAATAATAATAATAAACATCTAAATATACCAAAACTTTATTTCCAAATAATGGATTAAAATGACTATTCATCATTTACAGCTTCAAACCTGGATACTTTAATAAAATGAAATTTTGCAATTTTTTTTAATATAATATTTAGAAAAGCTGATCGGATGGAAGACTAAAATAAGTTATACAATATAATTTTTTCCAGTGTTTTTGGTAACAGTAATAAACAAGACTGCATATGTTATTTTGTTATTTTTGCTTCACAATTTGGCAGTTGATCAAATGCATTCTTTTGCCGTTTAATGTAATTGAAATTTCTAAAATAGTTTTGGCTTAAATGTGGTGTGGTTTAGTTGATTCTTTTTTTTATTCTGTGGATGCACAATATTAAAATATACATACATATATAAGTACATATACATACATATGTATGTATATTCGAAAAATATACGGATCAAATATTTTAAGTTGTACTTAAAACAAATAATTTAAGTTTTTCATTATAAATATTTTTTTCGCACATACTATGTGTACAGTAATACCTTATTATCCTTTAGGAAAAAACTATTTTAGTACGTAAATGTTTTGTCAATAGATAAATACAATTTTTCATATAAATAATACCCAAATTTTCCAATGAGGTAGAGTCATTGGAGATAAAACTTTGCGTGTTGGGGATTTGACCGGAAAATGTTTTAAATACATCCGATAGCCTTCAGCGAATATACTTAAATGAAGCATGGTGCCGAATAAGGGCTTATAAACCATTTGGGAAATTATACAGGAGAGTACAAAAAAAATCATAAAACCTTAAAATCGTATATTTTTCATATTTTTTTTTAAATATATCCTCAGATATAATTTATAGCTATCCCTCTGAAAATTTTCAGTAAAAAAATTAAGCCACAACTTTCAAAAATCGACACTTGAAATTTTTCTAAAATGGAAAAAGGGCATATATCCATATATTTTTGTTGAATATGTTCAGAAAGAAGTGATTTTTTCATATACTTATTATTAACTAAATTGGAAAAAACTTGGACAACATTAGAGACCAGAGTATAATTTGCTAAAGTTTCAAGGACGTCCTTGATTATCCTTTTAAATTATTAAAGGATAAAAAATGAAAACACCATTTTCCTATTTGGACAATGACAACTATAGTAACTAGTATTACAATAATGCCTTTTAAGGACGAAAAACTTCTTAACTTAAAACTAAGGGATATATGCCCTTTTTGATGTCTATGTTGAAATTAATGTTAAAATAATATTTTTTGCAATCTTACAAAGGAATTCATGGAATTGAAATGTATTCCTCCTATTCTGTAAATATGATGCGATTAGAATAAATATTTATGTATACGATTTTTACGAAAAAATACTTGATAATTCTGATATTTGTTTACCTCAAACAAAAAATTAAATTACAAAAATCCTTCTTTTAAAGCTAAATATATATTGTCGAAAAAAATTGGATTTTTCAAAAAATCTCTCCATGAATAGATGTAAGTATGTATCAATTGAACACTAAATGTCAAAAACCGCGATTTGGGCAAAGTGGTCTTACGCCCTTATTCGCATCCATGCTTCAAATGATGAAAAGTATTAAAGGATACTTCTAAAGGTGCCTTTACACTATCGCAAAAATAAGATATCTGTTAAATTTTGCGTAAAGGAGAACGTAGTTCTCCTGTCCCCATTACACCCCTCTTTTTGAAAAACGCTCTTTTGTCAACAAATTGTTAAAATATTTCTGAATTAAGGTAAAAATGAAAATAAATACTATTAAAAATAATCAACATTTTTAATATAATCACTGGTGTAGGGTGTCATATAGTCGGCTCCGTCCGACTTGTTTTACTTTTTCATTAGACTTTACGTACGTAAAGTGTGATCGTGTGAACGCCCTTTTAGTGTGGAGTGCTGAAGTTTGTAACGCACAAAAATAATAATATTAAAATGTAGCTATCCTTGTATAATCTTGTACCCAAATTACCGGTAACAAGGACGCCTATTGTATTGATCGTTCGTTTCATAAAATTTAATTTTTCCTACAAACATAAATCTCTACACAATTTTTAAAAAGATCGGCCCCATTTCAAAGCCCCTCTCAGAAAATCTGGTTTTCATCAAAAAAATACTTAAACATATCGGAATTAAGCAAAACTTTACATAAATACTTCTTTTTATAAAAAAAAATCAGATTTAAAATACATGTACTTATATCCGGTGTAGGGTATCACATGGACTATACTTTCTTATTTGTTTTAAAATATTTTGATGGAAAATATAATACAATAAATACAACATAATTCATAATTATTTTAAAATACACACCTTAATTAGGAAATATTTCCGGAGAGATTATAACATGTTAACATAAATCTGAAATAAAATAAAAATATATTTATTAAATTATACTTCTGAGGTTTAAATAAACTATAAATCTATGTTTTATCTATGTTTTAAGAATTTTTTTTCTGTGTATGTGACCATTATTTGTAGACGTTACAAACATTAGCACATTAGTCAACAATAAATGTAAGAATATATGCATGAGCAAAATCAAATATTTTTAAGAATCGATGAAACTGAATTAAAATGCCTCGTATTTGCGTTAATCTTTTGAAATAAGTAAATGTTTTGATACATTTCGGTATAATATACCAAAACACATGTATGTCCATAATTTCAGACCACAAGCTTATTATCTCTAAACTTTATGAACATTTAAAATTTTAAAAATTAAAAAAATGCTTTGAAATTTACCAGAGTTTTTTCATAAATTTCAAAACTGTTCATAACTTACAGAGCCATCCTTTATAAACAAGAGTCACAAGACTTTGGACATTTAAAAAATCTTATAATAATTTCATTAGTACTTTTAGGTGCAAATATATACAGTTGTAAACAAATGTAACCAAAATCTTGCGTTTTTTTATTTTTTTAAGTTTTTTAAATAGTCTATGTGCGCGCATTAATCATATTAAATTTAAGTGCCTAACGGTATTAATTAGGTGTAGTTATTTCTTATTTAGTCCTATTAAGGCTAAATAAGAAAATGGAAAAACGCTCACACAGAAAACAGATCGATTGGAAATCGGTTACCATGATAAATATTTAGTTAAATTAATTAAAATTGTATCGCTGTTATTGAAAAACTGTATAATTAACCGATTTTCTATACTCAGTATTAAACGACCATAATAATAATCGAATTGTGGTTTTAACAATTTCCAAATCAATAATTTGAACTGAATTGTATCGGTTATTAAATTCTTTTGTTAATTCAGTAAATGCAGCCGAATTTTATTTAGGATTAAAACTTTAGAACGTCAAATATTAGTCGCTGTAACCGAAAATCAGTAGAAAGTAAAAAATATTGATCATTGCAACCAATTATCAATTGGGAAAATTATTTAAAAAACTATTGCGGTTAAAGGAACCAAATTCGGTGTTCACAACCGATTATTTGATAATTATAGTTGACGTTAACAAAAATAAATAAAATAAAACGAATTTACAATTTTAAAAAATATCTAATTACATTTGAAGATAACTTAATGCTGATAAAAAAAGGTAATGTTTAGTCCATTATATATCTTAAAATCTATTGTGGTTATTTTCAATAATTTTTAATCATTTTACAGCAGCGGAAAAGCGTGGAAAGGTAGCTTTGGAAATGTTGGACAGTATGAAGAGCAAAATCCCAAGTACATACCATCAAAATCTCAAAACAAGAAGGGAAATGTTGCTGGTTTATATTTATAAGTTTGTATTTACATACATACATACATACATATTCATATTTTATTGTAAATGTTTTAAACAAAATAAAATTTATTTTAAAATACACATAATCCACAAATTGGTTTTCAATAAATAATATTTCAGTTGCGTATACCGATAATTTCAATCCAGATTACCGAATAATAATTTAAAATAGTTGTGTACACCATATATTCAGTAATAGTAAACGAATTTTACAGTAATTACAATCGAATTATGGCATAGTTGTGAGAACCGACTGAATTCGATTGGAAACAAATTCGGTAGTCACAATGAATCTGTGTTCTCTGTGCTAGAAAAAGCCAGAAGCTAAAACATAAATTTCGAGGCTAAATGATAAATAACAAGTAAGAGTGTTATATTCGGCTATGTCGAATCTTATATACCCACCATCAAACCTCGTTTGACTCGAATGAAACTTACTTATGTCGAATTTCATCTATATACACGTATATTTAGGCCAGTTATAAGCGTTAAAGTAATTTTCTATAGGGGACCTTATATGGGGGGTTGGGTCAATCATGGACCGATCCTCATAAAATTTTTTAGATAGATTTTGACTCGTATGAAACTTACTTATGTCGAATTTCATCTATATACTAGTATTTTTAAGCCAGTAATGAGCGTTAAAGTCATTTTCTGAAGGGGACTTTATATGGGGGGTAGGGTCAATTATAGACCGACCCTCATAAAATTTTGCATAGTGATTTTGGATCATAAGAAACTTACTTATGTCGAATTTCATCGCTATATTCGTATTTTTAAACAAGTTATGGCTGTTAAAGCTGCTTTTCGAGGGGCCACTTGTATGGGGGCTATTCTAAAACGTGGACCGATATTGCCCATTTTCAATACCAAACAAACCTTACCTATAAGAAATATTTATGTGAAATTTCAACCCTCTAACTCTTTCCATTCGGACTCTATCGTGCTTTCCACAGACAGACAGACAGACAGACAGACGGACGGACAGACATGGCTAGACCGTCTTAGAATTTAATGAGGACCCAGAATATATATACTTTTGTGGGCCTATGACCAATATTTCGATGTGTTACAAACGGAATGACAAAATCAATATACCCCCCATCTTTTTTGATGGTGGGTATAAAAAGGCTAAATTTAGCTGTAAAAAGGCTAACCTGGCAACACTGATAACATTAAAATCAATTATTCCTATTTCCTTTCATTGAGAACTAAACACACTAACTCCGGTTAAAAAACCTAGTCTAGGTTTCGGAACTATCCCTGTCCTAATAAATGTTGATAGATTTCATTGTGATATTAATATTTATAATGACTTTCAGGTCATTTTCTGACGGAGACTTCGTATGGGGACTAGGATCAAATGAGTCCTGATCATTACGAAAATCATCAGTTTTATTTAAACATATATAAAACTATTGTTATAGAGATACTAGAACATGTACTTCAATGCCCTATTCGAGGGGTCTGGTTGTATGATTCTGAGCCGATTGCTGTACTTTAAAGTGTAGGACCAATATTTTTAGTGTTACAAACTTCGGCACAAACGCATAACACTATAGTAGTGTGGGGTATTTTTCGTCAAATATTTGAACAAAGTGAAAAAAACATTAAGACAAAAAGTACGTACAAACATTTATTTAAATTTATTTTTCAACAAAAAATATTTTGCAAACGGTGTAAAATATAAATGATTATAATACCTTAATACTTACCGGAAAATACATGATTGTTTGGCTTATTCGTAATTAAGAAGAAGAAACAAAAATAAAAAACAACCAAGACATGTTTTCTTAACGGTTTGCTAAATGTTAAGACTACATTAAATTACAAAATTAAGCACCACGAAAGCCCCCAAAAGAATTACGATTTCGAGAATACTTCTGTACACAGATTTTCACACACACACGCTCAGATATTGGACATATACAAACATCAGTTTATTTAAAATTGTTGCTGTTATTATGTTTTTTTTTAAGTGGAAAAAAACTAAATGTATTTCGTACGGCCAAAATATTTTACAGCAAAACACGATTTCGGCCAGTAAATGTTAAATGGGAAATACGGTTGTGACCGCAACAAACGGAAAAGCAATGTGCAGTTAAACGGAGCAGACAATGAAAAGAATCAAAAAGCAGCAACCATCATTACCCAGCACATTGCAGCAAATTTTCATTTGTAATAGCAGCAGCAAGAGCAACAGCGTCCAAAGCAGAATCTTCTGCATCTGCAGTGTAAAAGTGCAATTCATGCACTCATCCATTCATTCGTTAGTTCATTCATTTATCTACCAATAACTTAATGGTTGGTTGTGTTGTATGTCTTTTGGCGTTGAATCTCATGGAAAACGATTTAAGAAATAAATGCTATTAACTGTTGTGGTCGTTGCTCTTATTGTTGTTGCTGCTGCTTCTGTTGTACTTGTAGTTGATTTTGTTGTTGTTGCTGTTGTGCATCTTAACCGTAGTTAATAACAAAAATTATGGCTAGAAATTTACCAGATCAAAAGCAACAACAAAATACGTACTTCAGGGTTATTGAGTGAATTTAAAAATGCATCTTCGTGTTTAAATGAAACAAACTGGAGCAGAGTTCAGTTCAAAATTAAAACAATGAAATACAACAAAATCTGTGTATTCCACTTCAGGCATGAAAATTATTTTAAGCATTTCAAATCATTAATCGTTTAAAAACAAAAACACAAAAGCGGTAATAATCATGATAAATAATAAAAACAAAAATGTTGATGAACAAAAAAGTGAAGATTAAGAAACTTGCAGAGAACTCAGCGGAATTACAAATAATCCTCGATTATCGCGGTTGATATACGCAATTTGATGTAACACTAATTAAATATTACAAATAAAATGTTTGGAATAACAATAATAAAACTTGTTTATACCAATATAAGAATTTATAAGTATTAATTCGAACAAACCCCGTAGGACTAAGGTCAGCTGTATATGTATGTATGCCTAAGTGTATGTGTTCTAGTGTTGGTATTTATTATTTCGGTCAATTTAAAATGTTGGTAAATAACGATGAAGATAATGACGATTGTCTGAATAAAAATTTTTGGTTTTATTATAAAACCTTCTTCCGCCATAAAAAGAAAATGGGTTTGGCTGACAAAAACAACGGCCAAGAGTATGAGAAAGGTGAGGAACAAAGTTATAGTTGAAAACAAGCGGGGTTACCAAATAAACATTTGCAATTTGATCTCCCAATTTAATGACTAAAAATTTCTAAATTTAAAAGAAACTTAAAGGAATTTTTAGAAATTATGAAAGAAGCAGGACAAGTAAAAGAAGAATAGTTTTATAGATCCCAGATCAATTATATAGATGATTTGTGTCCAGATTCAATGACCTTAATCTCAAGGGTACGGGATGCGTTTGGTACCTTCAGCAGTAGAATCTGTTTATTATTTATTTATGGTCTCTAATGGGTGGTTCGATCTATGTGACAAGGGGTCTTTTCGAATCTAAATTAATTTGACATGGTGATATGGAAAAAATATTGTTAACTGAATGAGAATTATATTGTTATAATGAGGATTGTATGTGAAAATTGTATGTGAAAATTCATTAATTAAATAAGAACACACAATT